CCTGCAGAACCAAATGAAAGGGTGAATGAATGTATCAGGGGTCCATCATCTATAGACCGCTTCATCCTCACCAGGAGTCCATCAGCAGCAACATGATCACTGATGTTCAGCATGTGGTCCTGCAGAGCAGCGTTCCCTCATCTTCAGCTCATGGTGTTCAGACTCTGGCAGCTTCTGGTAAAAGGGAGTCTGTGGTTCTGGTGAAGGACTGTGAACAGAGCTGCTGCCTCCTTCATGTCCACCTCTCTGTCCGTCATGTTCAATGAATCTGGTTAGAAGTGTTTTGGAGCAACACTGCTGACTGACTTCAGAGAGGATTTCCTGATCAGACAGAAGAGTCCAGACCAGCATGAACTGTGTGATGTGTTGAAGCAGATCCAAGCGCTTGTCCCTCCTCCATCGGCCTGTTGACTCGCTGTGAGTTGCTCATCTTATTTCTAATATTATCCAACAGTGACACGAACAACAAAAAACCCAACTCAGATCCATGGTGGCTTGTTTAGCTCTACTTACCAGAACCATTCCCGGGCAGGTCCTTCACCTGACACACCATCACCTCACCTGAGTGCAGAACTCTCATCTCCAGTGTGTTTCTGTTCATTAGTGACGTGGTTATTTCCACATCCAGATGAATTCAGACACTCTGAACATCTACACATGGACCAGTACTACTTTGGTGTATTTGTTGGTTCATTCTTATTTATTTCTCCCGAATGCTTCCTGTTCCCTTTGCTGCTGTGACGCTGTGGCATGAATAAAGCTTCATCGTATCGTTACTGCCGTTCAGAGGAGGAACAGTAAAACACAATGAAGACTTGTGTGGCTGAATAATCCCAGTAAGTAGCTGCCTGTTGCACATGAGAGCGCTGCACTGCGCCGCGGCCGCTAACAGGCCCGCTTTAATCCACCTAAACCTCCGGCTGTCGTCTTGTATCAGTACATTGGAGGGAAGTCTGAAACTCCTGCAGCGACCAAACACAATTGAAGTTTAGCAGCATCCTGACTGTGTGCCTTCTCTGGAAAAAACAGCGTTTCCCAGCGGACTGGCAGGAAGCATGGCAGTTGGAAAGCAGGCCAATGAGGAGCAGCGTTCTTTACTGAGTGACCTGACAGGCCCTGCATGGAACAACAACAAGGCTCGCGTCTGCTGTCGGTCCGACATTCCTGCACATCCAGCTTAAATAATGAGAACGGGCCGGTTCCAAGGAGGAAGGAAAAAATAGACCAAAATATTCAGCATGTATCTCACCATGAGGAAGTTAACCTCAGGCCACAGCTTCACTTCATCAGGCCGTGATTCCTGGGTCCCACTGATCAAAACACGCAAAGGAAGAGTTCTACGTCTCACCAAGAGCTGTCACCAGAACCTCGATCCAGGATGATCACTGCCCTCATGTGTACTGCCTGTCTGGCCTTCCTACTCCTCATAAAGATGCTTCAGATGAACCAGCCACATGCAGGAAACAGCCTCTTTGTAAAAGGTTCAGGCTGCAGCATCGTTTCCACCAACATGGAACCCATAAAAAACACTCTGAAAAAAATCCCCCAGGAGCAGTAGACGCCCCGATTCATGGCGCTGAGGAGAGGACTTGACTTGGTCAAAGGTAAGATGTGAATGCTGTCAGCCTCCCTCAGCCCTGGACAGCACCGCTTAAAGGTAAAGACGTCCCTCCATGACGGCTTCCTTCACTCGCTGTGCGTCTTCTCGCAGACTACAAACACCATCATGGACATGTGAAGGCATGAAACGTGACTTTCACCAAAGGGAGTCTTTACTTATCTTTGTGATGTGTCTAGAACTTGATTTGGCTTCACGAACTGGACGTAGTGGAGAAAAGGACACACCTGTGTATGAGCCACAGGTACCGCAGTGCACCTGTATGCCAGGACTAAAGCCAAAACACGCATTGCAATGACAGACAGGAGGCTGTTCAGTCAAACTGCACAACACAGAAAATGGTGATCAAAGCCTCTCTGACAGAGCCTCAGAAGTCCTCTGCAGAGGTGGAAGAAGCAGAAGAAGGAGCATCCCAGCAGCACTCCATCCATCAGGCCTTTCTGTGGATATCATGTTTAGTGAAAATCCTCCAGGAGTGTGAGGAACAGATGACCTGATGAAGCAACAGAAACCTTCAGCAGACATTCAGCTGTTGACCCCCAGACATCCCGGACCATCTGGCTGATACCATCCAAATGGTGGGCATGGCGGGGCAGCATCATGTGGCGCTGCTCCTCAGCAGCGGTGGAAGAAGTAGGCAGCTTAATCCATTTCAAATTACACACACAGCATAGAAAGGTGTGCACAAGGTGAAGGGTTCTGAAGGCGCTCTGCAGCGACTGCAGGGCCGGACCGGGCCTACAGGCAGAACGCTGCGGTGCTGCGGGCAGTTTCAGTCATTACAGGAACAACGTGAACATGGAAAACAGGTTCTACAGCTTCTGTACCTTCGTGAATCCAGTTAAAGACACAAGTCATAGATAAAGTCAAAAAGCAGAGTCCTGTATGTTTATGATGGATCACATCCGACTAACTGGATGCACTGGTGCCGGCCGGCCAAACACCTCTGATAAACCCGACTGCCTTCATTTGTTTCACTTTCAAGGGCATGCAGGAAATCCTGAAGACAGTCGACCGTGCATCCCGATATCCTTCCTCTCTTAAAATAGCACCGCTCAGATTTCTTTCAGGAGACAAGATGTCAAAATAAAGTCAAGTTCAGGCCACGACAGGCAGCGTTTAAATAAATCTGTGAAAATCTGTCAGACGAAGGTGTGACGTAACGAACACATGCACAGGATCAGAGCCCAGTGGTTTTAATACAGCATCACTCAGTCAACATTTAACATGTCGCTCTTGATTATTTACAGTTTTGAGAGAGATGAGGTTTGTTTTTTTTTTATCATCTAAACAAGCGTCATGAACAGAGAAATTAGCTCCAGAGGCCAAAACAGCTTTCATTTACCAAACCAGACACCTCCGTCTCCACAAACCTCCAGAAAACCCACGTCTCCATCGTCTACCTGAGAAGTTAGAATGTTATTGTAACAGGTGTAATACTGGCAAAATGTAATATATATGACATATATATATATAAACAGTAAATTATATATATATATTATTTACTGTTGGTAAACCATAAATTATGAGAAATTGTCCATTTTAAAATCCATCCATCATCTCTACACCTTCATCCTCACCAGGGTCATGGGGGGCGGAGCCTATCCCAGCTGACTCAGGGTGAAGGCAGGTTCGCCTGGACAGGTAACCAGTCTATCACAGGGCTACACTTAGAGACAGACAACCAAGCACACTCACATTCACACCTACGGACAATTTACAATCACCAATTAACCTCAGCATGTTTCTGGACTGTGGGAGGAAGCCGGAGAACCCGGAGAGAACCCACGCTGCACGGGGAGAACATGGAGACTCCACGCAGGAAGATCCCGGGTGTGTTCACCGTCAGTTTATTTAACGTTTGCTGATTTTATGCTGAAGGGCGTCAAACAGAAAGTGTCTGTTCACCGCAGATAAACACAACATTCACTGTTTCATCCACAAATACGTCATAAAATGAATTATGTGACGGTTTTTGGTTCATTTTTAAGTTGTTTTATCGTTTCTGTTTTGTTGTCATGGGTCTACAATGAAGAGAAAGAATTTATTTATTTTTTACTGTCAGTAAACTGTTTCATAGCTTTTTCTGTGACTTTACAGATTAACTTGTGTTTTTAATTTCAGTGATATGATCAGAAAACAAACATGTCCGTCCACATCTGAGGGTAACAGGAGACCAGAGACAGGTCAGTCATTAAAAGTGGCTCAGATTTTGTCGCTCACTGTATCTGGGCCACAACCCCACTGCTGAATCATTTGTCTTCATATGGTCTCATGTTGCTTTCCTTTCCTTTTATCAGGTCTGAATCATGCACATCTCTTCAGGGGACGAACAGTAATCAAGCATTAAGCTGGTAAAACAACGTTGGGTATTTTTGGGAGCCTGAGCTCTGTTCGGATCAACACACCTCTGAACGTTTCCAAAAAAGGTAAATGATTAAAATCACTGCAAAATGAACGTTTGTAGAAGTTGTTCAGGGTTTATGGCCTGGCCGTATGGTGGAAGACTCAGTAAGACTGCAGACTGCGCCACAGCCTTGAATGTGGACCATAAATACCAGAGAACACTCAGAGGTCGCGTCCTCTGGGATCCTGCTGCTGCTGTAGCTGATACGCTGCACCCAGCTTATGCATGATGGGTTTAAAAACTGATTCTGACTAAATCTGTCAACATTCAACACTTTCAAGCTAAAAACGAATCACATCAGGAAGGAGGGAAGTCTCCATCAGAATAACATCCAATAATATTAGTGTGTTGTACAAATGCACTACTTCTCCAAGTGCTCATACAGTGGTGGGCTTGTTGGGAAACTTTGCCTCCCGGCTTTGATCACACAAAGCAGACGTCAAACAGACTGTATGTAGGAGGAGGACTGATGCACACATTATCAGCAGCAGATAATCAACACACCCATAAATACCTTTTCCTCTTCAGATTGGTGCCAGATGTATGTTTTTCTCCCCTTTATTCACCGTTTTCTTTCTTTGCATGCTTTAGAAACACAGATCACAGCCAACTCAAAGTAAAACTAGAAAAGGAAACGGAAGAGGAGGCCACACTTTGGTCAGGGACACATGCACATTTGATCTGCACACATGAAAGCTTTTCCCTCTTCAGCTGTAACCCTCAGAGCAAGAAGGCTTATATGACCTGTTCTCTCTTTTTTCTGTAAAGCACGTGATCATGATGATGATTAAAACATGAGATCTCGTGCGTAAAATGCGCAGGCGACGTGCGTAAAATAGTCATGTCTGCCTGAGAAGTTCAGCTGAGCCTGAATGAAAGTGCCCGGAGCTCATTCCGAGGGGGAGGGGGAGCAGAGATGGGTGGGAGAACGGAAGACTTTGAGGGGCGCGCCTCTCCTTTCCAAAGTGTCTGGCCGTTCCCTCCTCCTCAGAGCTCATTCCTCCGCTCTCCTTTCTCCAGACCTGTGCGTAATGGTAGAACGGAGGATGAACTCTCTGGTAAAATGGACGCTCATCCTTTTCGTCCTCATCTCCATCATTCTAAACATCGTCCTGATCGGCATCTACTCCAGCAGGGCGCCCAAATGTTCCGCTGCGCGGGTCCACAAGCTGCGGGGCGAGCACGACGAGCGCAGCCTCGTTTTCGCTGATCTCACCCGGGAAGAGTACTGGCAGGTTCAGCAGTACATGCTCAAGCAGAAAGACTTGGACATCTCCACCAGGCAGCTCACCAAGCCATCTGAAAACTTCTTATTCCTCATAGACCTGCATCTGCCAAAGAAAGCTGACGTTTTGAATTACTTGGACGCGAAAGGTGCCAAGCCAGCGAGAGAGGCGACGGTGGTGGTCTTCTACGGCGCCAAAGGTTACGTCAGGGAGTATGTAGTGGGGCCTCTTCCCAACCCGACATACCACCACGATGTCACCAAACAGAGGTACAACGCGGACCTGCCCATCACTGCGCGTTTGGTCACCATCGGGGAATACGCGCTGTTGTTTGAGCTTTTTGAGACCAAAGTTTTCTCCAAGCTTCAGAAAATCTTAAAAGAGAGCTTCGGTGTGAATGAGAAAAGGACACTGAACGCCTTCGAGCAGATGCCCCGCGGAGTCCGATCCGGGGACAGGAAGACGTGGATCTCCTTCTTCAGGGACATGGACGGCATGTACATCCACCTGGTGGGCTTCGAGGTGCTCATCAACCACCAGCACCTGAACGCGTCTCTGTGGACAGTGGACAGACTGATGTATAACGGCAAATACTACAACTCTGTAGAAGAACTTCAACAAGCATATGATACCAGCTCTGTTAACAAAATAGTTTACAAGGAGACACCTGATTATGGCTCTCTGAAACCCCGAACCAAGCCTCTGCAGATCGGCCCGCAGCAGTATTACGCAGAGGGGAAGCGCTACAGCGTCCAGAACAACCACGTCCTCTACCTGGACTGGAGCTTCGCCTTTGGACTGAGCGCCCTCACGGGCATGAGGGTGTTTGATGTGCGCTTCAAGGGTGAGAGGGTCGCCTACGAGCTGAGCGTGCAGGAGGCCATGTCCATGTACGGTTCAGCAACACTGGGGATGATTATCACCAAGTTTCTGGACTCCAGCATCGGGATCGGGCGCTTCGCACACGAGCTGACCCGTGGCGTGGATTGCCTCGACAAGGCCACGTATGTAGACACGTACCGCTACTCCGACATCCCAGCCCCCAGGTTTCAGAATTCAATCTGCATCTTTGAGCACAACATGGGTCAGCCCCTGCGCAGGCACTTCGCGGACTTCTTCCACCACAGTTACGGAGGGATGGTGAACAGCGCCTTGGTGTTCAGGACCGTCACAGCCATCGGGAACTACGACTACTTGTGGGACTTCATCTTCTATCAGTCCGGATCGGTGGAGGCCAAAGTGCACGCCACCGGCTACATCACCTCCTCCTACCTGGTGGCAGGCAGTCTGAAACACGGACATCAGGTGGCAGAGAATGTCCTGGGCAACATCCACACTCACTTCATCAGCTTCAAGGTGGACCTGGACGTGGCTGGTGAGTGGCAGGACCACATGACACATGATAAACACAAAGAGCCTCAGTCATGAAGGATTTGGTTCTTCTGTTACGGTCGTGGGACAGAAATATTCATTTAAAGAGTTCATCCCTCATTTATCTCTATTTAGTTACATTTGCATCTTTATTTTAGATGTAAAATATATTTATGCGTTAAACAGAATCTGTGCATATGTTCAGATTCTGTGAGCATGCGTCCACGCAGGTGAGAAGTTAAAGAGGAAAAGACAACAAAGTGACTCGTTAGATGTTCAGCCACCAGATATCAGCTTCAGTGGACTTCGTACAAACACTCCACGTCTCTGGAACGATGGAAACAGTTTTTCCCACAGATATTATCTAAGCTGGTGGTTCAGTGATGGTGCTGATGGTCCTGCATCCTGCCTCCAGGTGGGAGCTGTGTCTCAGAGGAGACCACGTAGGATAGATGATCAGCCAGAGTAGCTTGGTGTTGATGTGCAGCGAGCCTTCCCTTCAACAGGACAGCTGGACTGAATATAACAGAACCACAGGATTTCCTCATGGTAGAGGTCAAGGGTTCTGTTTGTTCCTTTAGTTTGTCATGTCTGTACCTGCTCAGGAGAAGCCTGGAGGCAGCGGGACACACAGCCAGGCCTTGCTGCCGTGATGGGCTGATTCTGCCACCATGACGTCACAAACAGGAGAGTTCTGGCTGTTTGGACATGTTGTGGTGTGTAAAGGGGAAAAGTTAAATCTTGGGTTTATTTGATGATGGAAAATCTGCTCATCTGAATATGTTTTCGTCAGAGTGCAGCTCATTGTGTGCAGGACGCTGCCTCCCAGGACGTCATGATGTGAACCAGCACCGTGTACACGCCTACAGGGTCTGGACCTATGTGGGTTGGACTGAATCCAAAATCCTTCCATGCACCATTTCTACATACTTCATTCCCTCGTTTTTTAATTATTAGCTTAGTTTCCTGATGAGCTCAGTCAGTCGAGCAGCAGCAGCTCAAGCTGGTCGTCTGCTGCTCAGCAAGTCCAGCTGCTTTAAAAGGCATCGAGTGTTTGTAGGCTGTAAAATATAAACTGCTCCTATGGTGGCCTGACAGCAAACCTGAGAAAATATCTTCAGTTTGACACCCTAAGCACAGAATTCAGAAAAACAAGCCTCTCCAGATACACACAGCACAACCAGATAGACGAACTGTGACCCACGTGTTTCCAGCTTTCTGCTGGTTTTAGCTTCATCTCAGTCTCCATGTTGGTGCTCTTTGGAGTCTTTCCTGTTCGGTGACATTTGCATTCGGCTGTGTTTTGTCTGTTTCTCGAGCTGCAGTACGTCGATGCCTCCGACTGCTAAAGAGCAAAACCTAGATGGCTGCTGTCAGCGGCTGATGTGACAACAGACTCATAATTATTGTAGAAAACAGCAGGTGAGGCCTTCCATGTCCTGGCGTTTTAAAGAAGACGCACAGATCTCGGTGCTGTTTCCTGTGTGATGGAAAACTAATGCAGTAGAAGCTGTAAACCAAAACTACATCCAGCTGCAGCTAATGCACATTCTGTGTGTTCATCATTAAACAACAACCATGAAGCTCCTCGTCCACCTGAAACATGCTGATAAATGTGTTTAAAGCTGATCTGAGGAACCGTTTCATACAGCTTTGCATCACCCCCTCTGCAGGTGTGAAGAACATGTTCCAGACCAAAGACATGGAGTACGTCAACACGTCGCTGCCGTGGATGCCTGAACACTTCTCCATGGTGCCTCAGCTGGTGGAGAAGCAGCTCAAAACAGAACAGGTCTGTCTTGGTCTTTACACTCTTGTAGCCCAGCGAATACTTAACTTAACACTAAAGAGGACTGAGTGAGCAGCACAGTGCAGCAAGTGCACAACCTGCAGCTTGTGACAGCGCGTAGCAGGTACAGGTGTGTAGCTGTGATCAGGTTCACCTGAGCTGTAGCGTGTCACCACATCACAGCTTCAGTCAGCTCCTTGTTCTGGTTCTGGTGGCTGCAAACAGTCTCATCCAGTCGGTTTGTTTCCAGCTGCAACAGGAAGCACACGTTGTGATAAAGCTGCTTTTGCTTTTAAAAGCTAAAAATAAATAAAAATACTGACTGCAAATTTTAAAAACAAAAACCCTGGACATTGTTTTGACATGACGACGTGACTTATTTTGATTTTCTTTATTTAGATTTTTTACTTATTTATTCATGTATTTGTTTTTAGTATCACCGGATATGAAGCAGCTCACGAGGCCGGTTATCGTGTGTCTGACAGCTCGTAGCGTCGTCCTTTCTATCTGCAGAGGACGTGGACACTGTCCTCCATGCTCCCGTCTGTCCTGTCAGACTTCTGGGTCACTCACTGGGTTTCTGTGTCAGTCAGAACAATAGATCCAAACTTCAGCTGAGCCACAAACCTGCAGCAAGACTGTTCGCTAAATCTAGTAAAAGAATCGTCAAACAGCTACCGTTAGCATCCCCATACCAGCTATGTGTCTGAGCAGGTTCTTACCTCTAAGAACACTTCGGACCGGCTCCGGTTTCTATCATGATGCTGCCTTAAGAGCCTGAATGCAGCCGGAGATCGTCCAGCAGAGACAGCTCATGTCTTTATAAGGCGTTTTGGAGCTGTTCTGTGAAGGCGCTGTATAAATAACGACAGTTCTTAGTGAATATTTATTTCCATCAGTGCTCTGGCTGCCTCTTAACAGTCCCACAGTTGCCTTGTCAGTATGAGGAACCACTGCTCTGGAATCACTGGGAGCCTGTTGGACTAACATCTGCTCCGACACCTCCACAGGAAGCCGCCCTGCGCTACGGCACCAAGATCCCTCGCTACCTCCACATCGCCAGCAAGGCAACCAACCGCTGGAAACACAACCGCTCCTACAGGCTGCAGGTGTACAGCTTCAGCGGGGATCACCTGCCAGAGTCCGAGGCTGAGGAGAGGTCCATGTCCTGGGCCAGGTAGGACCGACTGGCTCCAAAACTCAAAAAAAAAAAAAAAAAACCCCTTCAGATATTAGTGACTGCAGCACGTGTTGTAAATCATGACAGGTTGTGTGACAAGGCCGCTCTAATGATCAGGACTGATCTCCAGCAGGTTACATTTAGTGAAATCACAGTCAGACCCCAGCCCTGAGAAACCATCAGAGGACGAGTCCTCCTGTGGACCAGGAAGTCCTGGAGACACACTGGATGTTCGTCTCTCTGAGCGGATGGTTCAGCTTTCTCTTTATGTCATTGGCCTTCATATTGTACAAACATCTCCCTGATGAACCAGAACCTCCTGAACACCCAGAGATGACGTGAGTGATGCTGGTGGTCTTGTAACAGATCATGTCACGCTGTGGGATGTGTTGGACAGCAAATCCACAGTTCAGATGCTAGACGGGGGGAAACATTCAGTGTAAAGGCCTGAGCCACTTTGACAAATGCTGTGGGTGTAAAACTGTAAGGCTGACTATAATTCACAGAATGTAATGTCCTGGTCCAGATGCTGCACCTTCTCAGCTGGTTTGGTGGCACCCAAACAACCTCGTCAACAGCAGTGTGCTTGTGTGTTTATAGGGTTAGAATTCTTTACGAGTCCCATCAGATGTTAAAGCATCTTTCTGCCCTCTGTCTCCAGGTATAAGGTGGCCATCACCAAGCACAAGGACTCAGAGCAGACCAGCAGCAGTCTGTACAACCAGAACGACATGTGGACGCCGGCTGTCGACTTCAGCAAGTACATTGAGGACAATGAGAGCATTGAAAACGAGGTACGTTGTGATGAAGTCTGAATGTTGAAGTCGTATGGGATGACCAACCGTACGGGGTGGTGACTGTAAACTGGACAACTAGGCTTGAAAGAACCTGTGTGATTTGTGTGCAGGACCTGGTTGCCTGGGTGACCGCCGGTTTCCTCCACATCCCCCATGCCGAGGACATCCCCAACACGGTGACCGTGGGCAACGGGGGCGGCGTCCTGCTGAGGCCCCACAACTTCTTCAACGAGGACCCGTCCATCCACTCGGCCGACAGCGCGTTCTTCCGGCCGGGGAGCGAGGACAGCTGTGAGAACAACCGGATGGCCTGCTTGGCTCAGGAGACCTGCAGCCCCGTCCTGGAGCCCTTCACCTTCCACGGCTTCCAGGGAGTCCTGAAGTTTGAGGACTGGGTCTGATTTATTCCCCACTGCCGGGTAGCAGCTTTCAAAGCGGTGATGAACTCAGATGTGCTCGGGCTTATTTACCAATCTGTCAAGATGCTTGTGTCACTGTGTTTGTAGAGGCAGCTGGGAGGCACAGGAGTCTGAAAGCTGCACCGGGGGCAGTTTGCTTCATAGTCAAGAGTGAGATGAGAAAATCGATTTCATTTTCATATCCGAGTGGTAAAATCCAACTGAAATCAGCGTTAGTCTGCCAGTAACAGAGAACAGGAAACCATCCAGGCCTCTGCTCAGTGGGATCCTTTATACAGCTGGAAGGTCTGAGGAGGAGCAGGCATTTGCAGGTACACGTTCTGGTGCAGCTGAGAAGCTCATTGGACATGTAGGCCGCAGCCTGCCATCAGCAGGTCACCTGTTGAAGTTTGGTGCAGGATAGGACGAGTGTTTGTTCGGTGGAACACGGGTCTGTGGGTTCTTCAAGGCCTCGTGTCCGCAAACCAGCAAAATCACGCCTGATTGAAGTCTGAGGACCAACACTGCAGCACACAGGTGATCTATAGAGCAGGTATGCATTTCAGTTGGAGTTTACGTACAAAGCTGAGGTCACAACGTGGTTAGCCTAGCTTAGCATAAAGACATGAAGCTCTAGCAAACAGCTGTCCTGGCGCTGTCCAAAGTTTAAAACTACTGAAACTACTAATGTGGGCCCAACACCAATGAAGCCGTTTGTCATTTTAGAGGGAAATGACCTGTTTGTTGTGCAGCTCTGTGGGTTTCATCTTCACAGTGAGGTGGCGAGTCTGTAGCCAGCGTCCCGTACTGTGGCACGCCAAGTCAAAAGTCCACTCAAAAAACATGTCTGGACACCCCGAGTTGAACAAATAAGTAAACATCTGGAGCAGGAAATGGCGTCACTGTGTACCTGGCTGACCCTAAAAACAACTGAATCAGCTTTAGATGTGCCGTTACTGTCATGTTGAAGCAAGGCGGACAGTCGCCCCTGTATCCGGTCTTTATGCTAAGCTAAGCTAACCACGCCTTGATCCCAGCGCTGTACTCGGACATGAGATTGGTGGTAATCTTCTCCTCTCACTCTCACAAAGAAGCAAAGCAAAAAAACCAACAATTCACCAAAATGCAAAACTAGTCATTCTGAATCATCATGGGCTGTAACAGCAAAAACAAACTACACGAACAGCTCTCTGCAGATGCTCCCACGCTGGTAAGGACATGAACCTTCTGAGAGGCCATGAGCTGATGAATAAACACCTGAAAGTGGAACGGCAGTAGTTTGACCTGCTGCTGCTGGTGCTTGTGCAGCTTCAGAAGTCCGTCCTTCGGATCGTTACCTACTAATCGTGCAGACTTTGCACTGCAGCTACTGACCGTTTTCCAAACATGCTTTATGCTTTTGTCTTCATTAATCTTACAAACAGACTGTATACAAAAAACATGAACGTAGCCTCCAAGTCTGAAAAGAAAAGCCAGCATCCAAGTGCCTTAACCCTGCGTTCTTCCTAGCAGCCAGCAGGGGGCGCCTCCCCCGGCTGCAGATTGTACAGAATTCTGTGTGAAAATGATCCGATTTGTCCCCTGATTTGTTACCTCAGTAAACATTTTTCTATTCAACTCAATTCAATTTTATTTGTATAGCCCATATTTACAACAACAAGTCATCTCATAGCGCTTCACAAAGGCAGAGACACCCAACAATCCAAAACATCTGGATTCCCTTTAAGCTTCAGCAGTTTCTATTTTTACGGTTTAATTACTACATGTTTTGTATTAATTATTACTACAGCACGAGGTTCATTCTGTAAGTTCTGGGTGTATTTAGAGCAGAATAGATGTTTCAGCGCAGGGCTAGCTTGTTCCTGACCACCGGCTGGTCTCTGAGCAGATCCACCCTTCACTCCTTTCTTCTGGGTGATGTGATGGTCGCCACGTTCATCTTTTATATACAGTTGATGTTCACGACTGCATCCATTCAACATACGCAGACTTGAAACACGCTTCAGGAAGCTAGCTCCACCCCATGAAGCTACGTTGCTTTGGTTCTTGCCGATCACACGCTGTTACGAGATCCTCATAAATCTCCCTGTTGTGGTGCCGTTCACTTTAATGATGCCTCCGACCAGACAGCTCTCCAAAGCCTGAGCCTCTGAGTCCTGGTGTGAGGTTCCTGTCAGGAAGCCGGTCCTGATGGACCCAGATGCTGCCTGAGTGGTTGGTTCACTATAATCTGTCTATAGGGACAGTTTGAGCTATCGGTCAGTTACACGTATAAAAACCAAGTCCTGTGTTGACGGTACTGGTTCAGATAGGAGCGGACCGGTTCTGCCAGATTTACAACCTCAGGCACCGGTTTCTTATTTTTAAGTCAATTTTCACAAAACTGAAAACGTGAATTAGTCGTTGAAATGTAAACACAAAGTTAGAGGGTCGCAACGTCTCTGGGGTTTAGCACTGATACGTGGTTACGGGGTTACGGGGTTACACCTTCACACCTTCACACCTTCACACCTGTCCAGCTTCACACCTTCACACCTGTCCAGCTTCACACCTGTAGCCTGTCCAGCTTCACACCTGTAGCCTGTCCAGCTTCAGACGATGCCACCACGTCACCTCCAGCTGTTGTTTAGCATGAAGTCATGTATTGATGTGGGACTGAGGAAGCTCTCTGGTCTCTGCGGGTTTCTTACCGATGCAGCTCTGTGATGCAGACACTACAAGCCGATTCTGTTCAGTCAGCTGTGTGATGAGTGCCCCGACAGAACCTGAGGGTTCTGTCCACAGCGGGTCGGTGAGGATGTGGCTCCAGGCCCAGACTACTGACTGCTCTTTGACTCTGTCTGTGTATTTTTCAGCAGTGCAACATTGTGAGAAATGTTTTTGTTGCTATTTTCTCTCCAAATAAAAGAAGACATAGTTTGTGTAATGGATTGCTTTGAGAGAACTTGAGAGCCCTGAATCGCTGCTGCACAGAACAACCGTCTGAAAGCTGATCCACACAGACGTGGGCCTTCATAAGGTTCTCCAGAGGGGAGGAAGCTGAAACCCGGCCAGCAGTGATGGTGAACCCCCATCTGCATGCTGGTGGGACCAGACTGAGGACTGGACACGGGTTCAGGGATGTGTGAGTGAAGTCAAACGTGGCTCTCCGCCGCAGACGGCGAGTGTTTCTGGGAAAGCTTTCACTTTGTTCTTGTTTAAGAAAGGCAGTGACAGGATGAGAGCAACAAAGGAGAGCAGAGCTCCCACCAAGAATCAAACACACAAGTCTCCACCGAGGCCGTATGAGGCCACGGCCGGACGGGCTGCTGCTCGCTTTGAGATAAACTCACGAGACCCGATGGAAGCAGCTAAACTCACAGCATTGTTCTAAAGCACCTGAATAAGCAGCAAACGGTTTCCTTTGTGAATAAACGTACAGGTTTACACAAGACAAACAGCTCAGAAGTAGCTCCACGCTGCTGCTTTCTCTGAAGTGTGCAGATCATTGCCTCCCTCTCCGCTCACCTCTCTCCACTTTGCTGCAGCTCGAGCACATCGGCTCACTTCCAGCACTGTGAATGGAAGGAGCGGGTACGTAGCGTCAGACTGTAGCATTGGATTAATGCAGCTTTATGTGTTCCAGAAACAGACTCTATAAAGTCTGCATCCTGCACGTTGACAGGATCCCGTCCTGATATTTGATCTGAATGAACCCTGAAGTCTAAATGTTCTGGTCAGCCGTACGCTGCAGCTTGTATCTGAGCTCTTCAGCGCCACCTGCAGGTTTACTGTAAAACACACAAGCAGTGCAGCAGCCCAAGTCCATCCTGAGTGCGCACTCGGCCGGCTACACACTGCGATGCTAACGGTCTTCTAAGCTCACAGCTAGCTTCACTGTACGACATGAATCTGTAGATCGATGAAAACAGAATCACAGCCTTTGATGCAAGAATAAAACGTCCTGAGCGTGCACCATCCATCCATGAAAAAGGAACTAGCGAAGCGTGAGCCCTCGTGGCATTTATGTGCTTGGAGAGAAATGTTTTAAAAAGGAGGATGAGGAGAACATGGACGTGGTCATGTCTCAGAAAGAGAGGCCGACGTGTGATGCAAATTTGGCAAAGGGAGCTGGTGTCACACGTCAGCTCATCCTGCATTTCTATTGGTTGGTTAGTTGATGTAGGTCACAGCAGCAGTCACCCTGTGAGATGATCGCCCCACATATCTGACAGTCAGAACTTTATCGCAGGTTGTCTTTCACCATGACAACGGCCGTCCTTCAACCTGCCTCTCAGCGCGACGTAGGACCGCAGTTTTTTGTCTGTCTTATGCCAACAGTAGTTCTTTCCAGGAGAAACGTGTGTGTGCATCGTTGTGCCTGAGGAGATCCAAGGACATGGACCTGTTGATGCCTTCTAGAGCGAGATCAGTCGTTTACACCTCTGCTCTCTGGAAGCTTCACTTCTTCCAAACAAGAATAATCGACTCTCACACAGAGAAGAGAACCGTTTTCACTTCAGTCACCATTGAGTTCATCCTGGCTCTGGATTTCAGGAAAAAGACAAAAAGAAACCCACAAAGCTTCGTCTTTTGTCTGGAAGCAAACAGCCTGATCCTTGAGTCACAGCTCAGGTTTATCTTATCCTATCCTATCCTATCCTATCCTATCCTATCCTATCCTATCGATCCTATCTATCCTATCCTATCCTATCCTATCCTATCGATCCTATCTATCCTATTCTATCTATCCTATCCTATCCTATCATATCCTATCCTATCCTATCCTATCCTATCCTATCCTATCTGTCTATCTATCCTCTGCTCCACCCAGTCACAGCAACACAAAGCCAGCCGTTGTGTCCTCATGAGTCCGGCAGGTTGGATCCATCAGATCCAACAGACACCTGCCATAAATCTGCTGGTGTTCCTGAAAGTGGTTTAACTGAATGAGTGTTGTTAGAAAACACACGTCTCGAATGCAAACTGTTTAATGATGAAAGGAAGTCGTTCATCACAGATCATCTAGAAATGTGGAAGTTGGAATATCCTGAAGCAGTCCTTGGTTGTTTCCATGACGCCACCAGTTGTAGTTTTATCGTTATTAAGATCAACAAGTTCTTCATTTAGGATGAGGAACACCTCATGTGTTTAAAAAGGTGATGATTTCTATTCATTCTTACAAATCCAGAATGATTTGTGTTTCCTGACAGCTTCATCTCCTCTTTCATCATTACATCATCCAATATTAATACAGAATCTAAACTTTACTCATTTTCACATTTTGTTGTTGTTGTGAATTTATATGCAAAATAAAAAATAGTTCATAAGGATAAACGGTGTTGCGCCCTCTGGAGGAGAGTCAGATGATAACACCGAGCACACCACTGGCTCCTGGACGTCTGCAGACGTGGAGATGCTCAGTGAACACCATCCAAGCGCCACATTCTTATTTCTTATGTAGATATTTTTTAAAGACCGCCAGAACTTCATGTTGAAGGTTTTGGGAGTTTGTTGTCTCTGGAAAACGGGAACTTTTTAGTTAAATGCAGAGTCACTCTTCCTCTGTGCTTACAGTATATATGCTTGTGGATAATTACTAGAATCAAACATCTACTGATCAGGATGCTCAGACCGCCCTGAGAGCATTGGGTCCATTTAAAAGCCCGACAGGCTCATCAGTTTCCCTCTCGACTGTAAATCTGACATGTTCTGCTGGAAAGCCGTCAGACTGGTGTTTGTTAAACTCCTGTAAACTGCATCTACAGACAAAACATCTTTTTTAGGCTCTTCCAGTAAACGAGCTGCATGTTGTGCTTCAGCTCACTAAAAAGCAGCAGACTGTAAAATGGCAGTCAAATGACCTCCATTTGTCACACTGGCATCAGCAGCCGCACATTCACAGCAAAGTGTTGTGGAGACATTGGTGTTGCAGCCTGAAAACATCTGGAACTTGTCAACTAGGAGAGCAGTTACTAAAGTCAGCACAGAACCCGTCCAGAACACAGAGCTGCTGCAGCTTCATGAAAATCTGTTCTTTGGCTTTTTGACGATCAAATACGAAGAACTGGAACCACATGCAAACCCTAATCATTGCTCCAACAGTGAGATATCATCGGCTCATGACCAGAAACCCAGCTTTAGTTTGGTTATTTTAACAAAACACGCTGCCCAGATGCAACAGGCCAACGTATAGAGAAACAGAAGGTGTTCAGCCCAGAGGTCTGCAGCAGCGCCTCTGACCATCAAGCAGCTCTTGTTCCTGCCAGTGAAGGCTTCAGCCAGCTTACAGTCTGGGTGTGACTACACGGGTCGCCTGAGGACGACCTTTTGCCAAATATTCCTGGAAGTATTTGAGTTTTTCTTAGACAGCCAGTAATCTGGAATGAGTGTGTGTGATTGGCTCCAAACACTCTTTCAAGCTGCTGATAGCATTTAGCAGGAAAACAAACAGCAGTGCTACGACTTGCTGCACGCGACAGCTTCCTGTCAGACAGGAAACGGGCCACCACGTACGAAGAGCGCAGAGCAAAGGCAGCAACAACAAACGCTAACCCTAAAGAGAAGCTGCTTCGTTTCATACAGGTGAAATCTACACCTGCAGCAGACACACAGGTGCTTTCACAGCTCAGTGTCGGCTGGTTGGGGGCTGACGGAGGTTTTGTGGAAGATCTTGTTGATGTTGTTGCATATTCGCTTCACAACGTCCACTCAGAGCCGAGTACTCAGTCATGGTCCAGTTCCTCTGAAACACCGGCTGGCAGCAGCTAACGTTGCTATCAGACAAGTTAAAGACACGACTTAAAAGTCACCACATGCAGAGAAATAAACGGATCCATCCAACCATGACTGTTGGTGACACCAGGAGCCACTCGACACTCGTATTACATCAACAGCCCTCACGTTCAGCCTTCGTTGTCTGAAGCTCGCGTTCAGGAAACGTCTGTCTGGATGTTTTAAGTTCTATGAACCTTTTCTTTAACCGGTGTTGGGCGTCGGTGTTCAGCAGCTGTGGTCAGCTGGCTGACTTCAGGCAAACATGGCAACCAGGAAGTACCAGGCTTTTATCCCACAGCCAATCAGAACATACCAAGGGGTGGACCGGGTTCATCTGATGTAAACATGACCTTATTCATTGGATTTCTGTTGGGGAATTAGATATGTTTTGGGTTTGCTTATTATTATGATTGTTGTGATTCAGTGGACCAGTCGTACGGTTCAGTGCTTTTTGTGGTTGGTTCACGTGTTTCTTGTCCCCCCTGTTGTGTGTAGATGGTCTGATCAGCCAGTGTGTATACATCCTCTTCTGCTCAGAGGCTCTCTGGTCTGTTATGGGATGTTTGGTCAGTGCAGCTGTTTGCTCTGTGACTTTGCTGCTTCTAGATTTAGGAACGTTCTGTTGTAGGAGACATACAAGCTTGAAGATGAGGAGCACAGTGTGCTTGAATGTGTGTGTGTGTTGCAGAGGCTGTGGTTCAGGTGGGAGTGGGCGTGTGCACATGCGGAAGTGAATGTGTGTATAAAGGGGTGCACTCACCTGTGTCACAGAGGGAAGGAGGAGAGAGTCAGGGTTGGTTAGTAGCCACAATGTTTGTTGACCGCTACCCATTCATTCATTAATCACCTTTTTATCTGTTTATTCCGCTGGTTTTCATTTTTTCCATTCATTCATCTTTTGCGCTGTGATAGCTCTGCGCTCTTTTGTCACAATAAATGCACAAAAAGCATATTTGGATCTCAGCGTATCTGTTATTATAGCCTCCAAGCGCGTCACAAATCTGTGAACCTGAGGACCCAACCTCAAACTCTCAGCGGCGAAAAGGTTTGTTTGGACGCCGCAACATTCTGTTCTTTCGACCTCTTTCGTGGATTTTTTCATCGTTGTAATTGTCGAAGGTGAATTCACCTGTGTGTCCTCCTGCTTTGCAGTAATGTCAGATTATTTCA